GAAACATAATTTATGTTAACAGCTACTCTTCAAATCTTACAACTTGATTCTTTATTCATCGGATGTATCATTGTCTTCTGATACTCGTTTCGCCTTAAACAAAAGTTTACAGAAATAAGGTAACGATGTTCCTCACTTTAATTACAGTGGTAGCGAACGGCTCAGTTACCTACGTCAGTTTCTTATGTTTGAGACTAACTAGAACAAAATATTACAGTCGTGCTTTAGATTAATTGCTAAATCTAATAGCTATGTAGATTGCTATGTACGGCGGTATAAGTTAGTCATTATTTAATTTTATATTGTAGGTTAGGTCACAGTTTATCTAACTTGATGGATATGTGGAAAATTGGATACCATATTATAAAATGTGGGAATGAATTCACTTTGCCATAATGCGCGGACAAACATGTATAGGATGTCGTTCCCTAATTTCAAGTTCATATGTGACGGGAATGGTTGGAGGCTTCCGTAGATGTAGCTCATTGAAGAAGAAACTGTGCATTTATACAGGTTAAGAAGCGTTGTTTGACAAGTCGATTAAAAATATTTGTAGAGGTATCGAAATAATAATAACAATAAGAATAAGAATAAGAGTAAAACAGTTAGTACGCTAAATATGAAAATAAGGACTTCTCCTTTGCTCCACTCTAGTCATGCAATCTGAGTAGTTTCAGAGCATTCGCAGTTAACAGCAAATAATTCCATGATTAATTTCAGCTGTAGGATGTTGACGTAGTGCAGTGACAAAATTCAACTGAATGAGTGCGTCACCTAACCGATTTTAAAATACTGTTAGTGTCGGTGCATAGACACCCGATTCTGGGAGAGCATTCCGTGGATAGCAGACAAGAATGGAAAAGAAATTTCTGCAGCACTCCAGGCGGCCATAGTGTACAGCGAATTTTAATGAGTGGCCCCTCATTGTTGTATTGGTGTTGAGTCGCATTAAAGGGCGGCACGCATGATGTGGTCTACGCAGAATTATGTCACAACAAGGTAGCCTCGTATTCTGCGTTAGCTTCCATGGAATAACACCAATCATTGCAGCTTCTCCTGGGATGAAATATTTCGCATTCCAATTACGTTCTTAGATGCTTGTCGTTGTGGCTACTTCAGTGCATTAAAGTCATGTTTCAGACATGGATGCCAGGCTTGAATTGCGTATTCGACATGGGGGCGAACATATACACTGAGCCTTTATTTAAATTTGGAGCTGGTTATTTGTCCAAACGCACGTTACAGCAGCTTGACGATTTGAATTCCAGTCTTCAAATACTTTTCGGATTGACTGGATTAATTCAAGTCATCTAGAAACAGGACACACAGGTCACGTGCAAAAGTTGATCGTTGTAGTGTATTCGTTCCGAGCAGGTATGAGTAACTGCTCTGATGTCAGATGGAAAGTACCTTGCATTTACTCATGTTGAAATGCAGTAAATTATGGGTTGACGATTAATATACCTTACCCGGGTCACTCTGAAGCAGAGGCCGGTAGGAGTGTACCTGGATCCTGCGCCAAATCTTGATACCTTCTGCAAACATTTGAAAGTTTGAAGCCATTTCCTGTAAAAGGTCATTAATAAACAATACAAACAAACGCGGACCTAGAACTGAGCATTGCGGCACACCACACTCGACTTTTGTGGCTTCCGATAAAAGGATCCAAACTCTGACCAATACTCGCCGTTGAAATAGAAAGTTGGCAATCCAGCTTAAAAGAGGGTCGACGATCCCCTAATGCTGGAGCTTGAATGGTAGTGTCCGATAATATAGACGATCGAAAGTTTTGGAAAACTCCAGGTGGATCATATCAACGCCTTCTCCAGCGTCAGCTAACCCGGTCCTACTGCGGCATGCGTTTAGTAAATTCGTTGTGTATGACCGCTCACAACGGGAGCCATGCTGCTTAAGCGTGATGATGTTACGGTTTTCCAGATAACAAACAACTGGATAGGCGACTATGGATTCCATGACCTTGAAGAGTATAGGAATAAGGACTATTGGGCGGTAGTTGCAATGCTCAGTTCAGCTTCTACCTTTTTAAATCGCAGTCAATATTCCAAAAGTCGATATAGTGGGATATAAACAGCGCTAGTAAAACTGAGGAAATGGTCATACCAGTTGGCGTGCTTCTGCTTTCTGTGACTCTGGACGATTGGTGTCGACACCCAAGGAGGTGTGGTTGCGTAGAGAATTCAGCTTTTGCAATAGAGCCTATGCGGTAAACATGATGTAGGTTAGTCTTAGCGACGAGACGACATATGTTTAAAATGGCGCTTGGTGGCTAGATTATCTGAAACGAAGGAGCATATTGCATCCGCAGCGAGTTTGCTGCTTCCACAGCCGTTCTTGCCGGGCCACCAGCCATCCTGAGTGCCGGTAATCCTTGCCTCACCTTTCGTAGGCTATTGACGTGCTTGTACAGCAGTTTGTGGTTAGCGCTGATATTTTTGAGATCTTTTGCTGATAGGCGGCTTGGTTTTCTCTTAGCAGTCGAGTGCAGTGATTAGGTTGGGCTACGTACTTAGCTAAATTTGCTGGTGCTGGAGATTCTTTGTTCACTGGCAATGCAGCGTTGCGTGCTGTCCTCCATTGTTCAAGTCTGCTGCTAACGAAATAAACGAAGTTACACTTATTGCAAACTCTTATACCTGAATCCACAGCAATTCGCTGACTGAATTTGTTGACGAACTGGAGCCAAGCGTATTCTGGATTTTCTTCTGCAAGTAAGGAGTAATTTGTATCCCTGACGAGCTGAGCTAATCGATCTTAGCTTGTGCTGTGCGCCGCCAATTAATAACAGCGTTTCTGGGATTAGTATAAAAACAAAGGAAAAGCAAGTCTATACATCAAAGCCCAATCAGTTTACCAGATTATTGCCCACGTAGTCTGCACAGCAATACTCACTTTCTCCGAACTATTTACGGACAAAAGTTAAGCAAATGCAAAAGATCGCATGTTTACGAAATTAATGCAACTGTGCAAGTTCTGCGGAAACAATCCTCGCAAACAGTATATTCCATACTTTCAATACATAGGCAATATTTGTAAGGCATATTACAATGACACAGTAATGAATCAGTTGTTGAAGTCACAAGCGCCATCCACCAAGTTCTTATAATGATGACAGTTTAAATAAAGCAGTGTTGTTACCTAAAAACCCTTAGAAATATGTGGACTAGTTTGCGATATCCAACAATGCAGTTAAAGCACAATCGTGTGACTCCGGCTTATACATTCGTGCAACATAATAAGTCAATGAGGCTTAATGTATGTGGTACAGCTACGACATAACAGGTATATACCATACATTTGCGATTTGATGGGGTTTGTAACAAATTGTTTGCAAAGTGTGCAAGCTCTTTAAATTAAGGTTAACTTAAATACACAGTCTTATCCAAATATACTTTTCACCCATGGTAATTAATTGTGAAGCATTGGCAGTCTGAGTCCTCTTGAAAAAGAGTGCTATCCTCCATATTTTATAATACTTAATGCAAATACAAATTTCCAGTAGGACGTTTGACAGCAAATTCCGCAATTGGGTGGCATGTTTAAAACATCCAATTCAAAGAGGACCTTAATCCTATTTCGACAAACAAAAACTAACCAAATTCAACGTTTCTAATTAGTTATTCAAGCACCGTTGCAAAGCCATGCTTTGGAGAGAAAAGCTTGAAAGCTTAAAAATGACGAGAGGGATGAAGCGTAAACTGGCAAGACATTATTTACTGCGCATTACTTTCCGGACACGTTTGAACGATAAAGAACGACAGGCACGCAGTAACGAAGGTGATTTTTTCGCTCCATGTGACCACTGGACCAATGTCAACCATAGCCGATTAGACAAATACACTATTTGGTTTACATCACAGCAGTGCTGCCCGCTTAATGCTTTGCCGCGAATAACAAAATAAGCAAACAATCTTTCTATGGCACTTACCGTGACCTAGATATCTGAATTATTGGCTTAGTTAGTAATAAAACACAACGCATGTGCACTGTTCGGATCCGCCTATTAGCGTTCTTCTTACAGTCAATTACCAAATCGTCCTCAGGCAAATTTGCATTAGCTAGCTTCGTACAGCATGTTACTTAATATATCCTTTTACCGTACAAAATGTTGTATCCTTTTTGCAAAAAAATACAGCAAGATATAGTATTGGCGTGGTACAGGCACATTTGACGACGAAAAAACATAGTTTGGACTGGTATAAATCTATAGTTCTTTTAAGTAATTTATAAACCCATATGAGAAATGGAGCAGAAAAGCAGCGAAGCCAAATTCATTTAAATTGTTTACATATTACGAAGGTTTATGGTGCAAATTTCATGACTTCAAACCTGTACATATAAGTTACTGTCGATAAAGATGTTGACACCCAAAACTTCGTAGCAGAAAGCAAATTCACATTTTTGCTGACATTTACTTTTGCTAAGTGCACAAGTATTCTTATCGTAATCAATTTTTTGCCAGTTATCAAAACACCATATTAGTTTTAAAGTTATAAACCTACTATAATTTACGCATAAACGTCTTATCTAAATTGGAAAGGATGGTATGAAACTAGATTAAAAAGTATACACACATGAGTTGAAATTTGTGCTGGATAAAATTTTAAAACTCGCAAACTATTACATAACCAAGTGAACAAACAGCCAATGTAGTGAAATAAATGTCGTGCTGATAATGTCAATGAACTTTGGTAAATATGGCTATCAATATTTATCTTAATAAAAAGAATTCATTATTAATAATAACGGTGGTTCATTCGGCAACTAAATCTTCTATCACTTTTCATATCAGCATTGTGTTGGCTGTAAAATACTCCGTTCCGTACGGTACGAAAATAGCGCGCAGTTGCCTAAATTTTCATACAAAATCGCACCCTGCTTACCTGTAAGAACAGCTTAACACGATTGGTTGCCTAACCAAACCAATCCAAGTAACAGTATTCTCATAGTTGGCAGCATTTTGTGGCGTCGACTCCGTTGTTAAACCAGTGAACCGTTAGTCACGATAAAGAGCACAAGAGAAGCGCACCTTGCTTTAGTTTTTAATTATCCTTGTACAAATATTTATGGAATTAAACATATCATAATTCGTTATCCGCCATAGTACCTACAGCGAAGGCAGTTCTGATGCGAAAGAAGCAAAACCCAATAAACTCACAGTGAGTATACGTAGTTTACAATATTTGTGCACTTGGTTATGCGATTTTATATCAGTACTACACTATATTTTAATTAAGTAACTAGAGTATTTTGTGTTGTAACATAACTCTTGAAGCAGGTACACAATGTATTTAGCAAGGTTATACGCATGGCAAAATATAGGTAATTTTATCGCTTTACTATCATGTTATCAGTCTAATAAATCTTGGCATTTATGCAAATATTTAAAGTATATTTGCTTGTTACTTTTTGGAATTTAGTCACAACTATTTTCTAAGCTTTGCCGTTGAAAAAGACTAAGTTGGATTTGCTTGGAATCACAATTTTAATGATTTTCTCTGGTTAACATTCATCATATGATAAATATATGTCAAAGACATGTAGACGTTGTTTAACGAATAATGTCGCATGATTACAAACTTTAGGCCCAGATTCTTAACAGATCAAATAAGGAGAAATTATCACGGCTATATCCTTACAAGAGAGCTAAAAAACGCAAGTTGCATTAGACTGCCGACATCATTAACTAGCTGACATAGTTAAAACGTATGTTAGCCAGCAACAATGACAATGTCGTTCAACATATAGCTAAAACTGGTTTGTAAACGGTATATCGTTGAAAACGTAGTAATTGTATGCATTACGTAAATAAAGTAAATATATGTAGCTTATTCCGACACTAATCCAATCTGGCTAATACAAAAGCGCAGGGTTCGCAAAATATTGTAAAATAAATGTTATAAATTTCCGATATACTCGAAATCCTCAAAGAATTTATTCCAAATTTACCACTTTGCTTATTATTAATAGTTTGCAATTAAGATTGCTTTTATGCTTATGTTTAGTCTTCAGTTAACTGGCATCGAAGCAGACGTTATTCATTTACTTTTTACCTTATAATTGTTATTGTGCTTCTCTTATTTGTTCCAGTCAGTGCGCTCCGGCATTTATGTCAGGCATAAAGAACCGCATCAAATTAAAAAAACAATAATCCTAAAAATTTGGATAGTTAACTTATTATACGTAGACTAAATAATTCAAAAACACCTAACGTCTTATTATGATTAGTTCGATATTTGTAACAAATTATACAACTTAGCGATCAAGTGCCCGTAAATAATAGAGATTGCAATGTATTATCCCTTATGCCAAATAGTCTAATGATATGACTGGTCTGGCGAACCTATTAAAAAAACTATTTGTTGAGTCCTAATAGTTTGATGAAAACTAGCGGAAGTGTCTTGATCCGTAGACTTACAACAAGTACATATTAGTTACTCCAGCAGTTTCTTCGGCTGTTTTCACTGCTTAAATATGGTATTAATTGTACAATGTCTTCAGTATGTTTTACCCAAAATGTACTGGCTAATGAGTTGTAGTTAACAAAAAATGAATATCTTAAACAGCATATAACTTCAGTGCCTGCAGGGATTTTGGACGTGTAACTGGCTTGCATTCTATTTGCGGGGCAATACCTACACCTGAGCATTGAAGACCACGAGTCCTGTGACTCATATCCAGTATATATCTAAAACAGCTAGCTAGACACTGCCTGATCGTGTTTTCTGATTACTTATTTAATGTAGATCTCTCTCCTTGTATTTTAATGACACAAGTTAGACGCGTTATAAGTTCTTTATTAAAGATTGACAATCAGCTTGCTGTTATCTTTGTTAACTTATAGGTACGAATATAGTAATCACATAGCGTGTACTGCGTGCGTTTTTACATATGGCCTAGCCTTAAACTTTCCATGTTGCGCAACCTATTGCACTAGGTGGATATATTGAATACTGATTGAGCTAACTAATGCAATCTAGGCACTGGCGCACGTAAACTTTGATAAATTTGACATTCATTGCCGCTGCTTCATGTTATGCTAAGCATTATTTTTAAAACGCTTGCAGATCATGTCCCTTATTACGCACTACTGGAACGGAAAATGGGTTTTATAGGTATTACATTTACAGTTAATACACACTGGATTTAAACCCATGGCCTCAACAAGACAGAAAACAGGCATGCACCGAAATTAAAAAATATGATCATATGCCTTATAAATACTGGTTTCATTTAGCTCAACAGTAGTTAACTGTAGGTCGGCTTGATTCTGTTGTTAAGTAGCCGGCCTCAAATGAGTATTTCTCCACCTAGTCTTTGCACTGATCTACTTTGTGAGCTAGGGGTTATTAGACCGAGCGACTAGAAGTGACTTCTCCGAAAATGCATTCCACTGGTGCATACGTGTGTTCCAGAAACAGGAGCACAACTGTGCCACGTACACAAACCTTCAAAACTCTAATACAGTGTGTGTACTAAATAAATATGCTTTAAGCTAATCATTCAGTCAGTCCTCATAGGCTTGACGGCATCGGTCAATAACAGTACCGCACCCATAGACATACCCAAAGCTTTGTTATATGGCACATATGTGTATTTGTAGGGCACAGTTCATTCAGGTTCATAAATTTCCTGAACAACGTGACGCAATAGAGCCAGTAAACGCGTGCTTATAAATGTTCAACAATCTAAGCAAGAATGAGATAACCAGGGGAAGAAACAATGCGTGAAAGTGTTTGAAATGACATTACACTGATGAGGTTACCGCCTCACGTACTTAAATTCCATCCATGGTAATTGAATGGAACTGGCTGATATCTACAGAGAATTCTGGTTCTGGAAGTACATTTGCAGTGAATGTGTCAGAATGCCTGAGATACAATTGAGAGGTAACGCACACACACTTCAATAAAGCACCCGTTTATTTTAAGCATTTGCTGTGTTGCATGGGGTAACACAAAATGTAATGGCAAGAATAAAATATCCCTTGTACGTTATTATGAATAACATTGAATTTCATCACTAAGTCACTTAGGTGCTAGAGTTTGCCCTCACGGACCAACCTGAGTTTTCTGTTTTGTTGAGTTATGCAGGCACTACATCCCAGTACAATAAGACAAAATTTATAAACTTGCCAGGATGTATCCCAGAACCATGCATTTCCGAGTCTTGCTCTTCAAGGTGGGCTTTGTTTGCTTTAGGCAAAAGACCTTGACTTACGAAGTATTTTTCACTGGCCCGATGAACTGTGACAATCTTATTAAATGACATCTGGCGGCAGCATGGCTAGGAAAGACTAATCGTTTTTCGGAACGGGGTCGTAGAGTACGAGGTAATGGGTGATGTTGTAGGCTCTCTTGTTGCAAGGCAGATAAACAAGAAGTAGCAGCCTAAGGCAATAGATTGAAGACAAATCACGAACTTACGGCTACATAAATGCGTAGCTTGTCAACAGTTGTGCTTCATATTTTTATTCCCTTATGGATTTGGTGTGGTTTCTACAGAGAGATCGGTTAATATGCCCCAGGAAAAATACCTTGACGGACAGAATTAGCCTCCCAAATTAGAGGAGATGTGCTGATTCACAAGTCTATTGGTTATGAAAGTGTTTTTAAAATAATATCACTCAAAATGTAGGAGGATATAAATTGTATAAGCATGTTGGAGGAGCATAGTTATAAAAAAAATATAATGCAGAAATGGCAGTTAAAATGTTGAGTGAGCTTAAGGTAACCTGCATATCTGCTAGTCAAAATATTAATTATGTTTTGGATTGATAAATAAATAAAAAAGGCGCGAAGAGTTGACTGTTTAATCTGCAAGTGGTTCGAGGAATATATACATAGAATAAGCCATACTATCAGGACGAATATTAGATATGCAAGCACTGAAGCAGCAATTCTTAAGACACAGAATAACCCTATCACTTGCTACTCATTTAGGCAGGCAGTGTTATATGTGGATGCAATGGAAAAGTTGTATAAGTCAGCCGTGTGTGGAGGATATAGCCGAGTTAACCAACTATGTTACGCATCAGATCACGGTAACCATTATGAATTAAAAGAGCTCGAGATTAAAATAGAGATCAAAATATCATATCAGTGCGTAATAATTGCATAAACTGGCAATAAACGCAACACCACTGAAGTCAATATATGTAGCCCCTTTTTAAGGAGTTAGTGTGACTTCATCGCGTCCATCATGACATTAGTTGTGGTAAGAAATACGGTAAAAATGTCGCATTAATCATATTGGATAAACCAAGCCTTTTCATTGTTAGCTGCTAACGTTTATCCACATACCTCTGCGTAATTTGGCACGTGGTTACTAATGTAAAACTAACTTGGAAAATTGAAGCAATCTAAAGGGACAATAACATAACAAAGCTGGTTCGCTTTTATATCTTAGACTATGTTGGGTTAAAGATTTTGACTACTGGCCCATTTAAGTTACTTGTTGGAAAAGAATCCATAGTGTGCTATAATGGATCTATGGTTCATTTAAGTTAAAAAGCAACACTTAACAAGCCCTATGTAGTAAAATGTATACGCAAAATAACTTTTAACATTAAAATGAGAAACACTTTGATGGACATGCATTGTGTTTCCATTGAGAAATGAGTACCGCATCTAAGATTTTCACATAGTCAATCCAAATCCACCAGCCTGGCATTTTAAAAACCCACCGTTTAGTTCCGTTAAGTAGCTTCCTGGTTAACCTAACTTTTAAAGTCAGATGTGACTTAAACAGCGCCACATGAAGTTGCACGGAGAACATTTCTCAGCTGATAGAGTTAAAGGGCGAAGATATTCAGACAGCATTCCAACCGGGTATATTATATCGTTAGATTTCAGTGATGAGCAATCCAGTTGGTTTTGTGTTTCAGTTCCAGAAGCAGCAAATGTTGGTTTGGGTTCCTCCGACCATTATATTATCACTTTGTAATCGCCGATATCGACTGCCATAGACTTTTAGGTAATCTGTTCCAACCTGGCAACGTACACATTTGGGTTGCAACCATCGTGCGACAGTACGGTTTCGATACTTGTGCAACGCAAAATCTCTTGAGAATAGCAAAAATAGCTAATGTGGTGAACATTTGGGATAATTTGCCTAAACTTGTTTGCAAAACTAGTAAATCTTTCCTAGTTGAACAGTC